CCACTAAGCATTACTTAAAGCGGGAGGGTCGTCACCTATGCACGCGCAGGAATTGAGTCCCGAGCGACGATAACAGCGCACGCTAAAGCGCAAAGGCTCATGGGTAGACGCTTGTTTGTAAACAATGACACGCTATGGCCATCTGACGCATGCGCAGGTGACGACTCCCTGCTTTAATCTAATTAATTATTCATGACAATGTTTGATTCTGACGAACAAATAAGTGAATAAAACGTAAAAGAGTATTTATAATCGTTAATTTTATGACTTGGTACATTATTCATAGTCATTGACTGTTTCACAGAAACGTTCAACAACCAGTTATACTAGATAATCATGTTTTCACTTGTTTCATTTTCTCCCTCTTTAAGTTTCTGGTTTAAATGAAGGTATAGTAATCTCAATGCCAAGCTCATTAAGCGAAGTACCGGAACCTACCTTTGTTACAATCAATGAAGAAAACGCAACAGATATCTTTTATTTCAAAGTCAGAGTAAGTGTTCAAGCACTCAATCACACTGACATCAATTATAACCATGCTAACTGGGCATACAATACTGTTAAACTTCTTTAGTTTAACAAGAGATAAAGTGTAACTATGGTCCTCGACCTTTAATGCACCTTCCCAGTGACGAAGTGATTTTGTGGCGTCATAATGATGTAGATGAGTGTTAGCGATGACGTTCAAAGCTATGTAGTCATTCAAAATGTCAACATTAACTTGCTTTAAATGTTACGTCGTCATAAAACGCGACTTTACGAACGGTATATTACCTTATCTAGTCTACGAATTACGTTATTAGTCCATGTTCAAACGAAGTCGTCCATAGGTGACTGGATACATCGGACAGTATGGGAATTGATGCACGTCAATTTACTTTCCGATCGACCGTTTTGACCCCAGTCTTCATCCACGAACCGTTTGGCCCAAATTTTAAGATTATCGAGCAAAAAACGACTTCAACGTCAATCTGCTAACCACTCCAACCCACAATCCAGCCGAGTATCTCGAATTCGAATGGAACGAATGAGGTTCTCGAGCTAAATGTTTAAAATGGAACGCATTAATCATTGCTGCCGTCCCTGAACTTTGGTCGTGCATGGACAGAATTTGTTCGAACCTGGTTCATACATACATACACTATATAGGACATTGATGCATGTCATTTTAAACGGACTGAATTCAAAATGGCCGACTGGTGGGCGTTTTGTCTTGACTTAGAAAGTGAGCTTAATAATTAACGAAGATTATTTTATGCAATTACTAGTTTCATTTAATATGCACGTCATGGTAATTTGAACGACATCATTTTGCATATGTTTATGTATTATAAAATTTGAACCGACTAAGCCTACCTTTTGAAAACAATTTGCGGAAAAAATATGGAAAATTGTGTGAACAAAAATTACCGTTCAAGGAATTTAACCACCTATTAATTTTATTTTGTTTTACTATGTTTCTTTAGGTCAATTACCCAAACACTGCTATTCGAATCGATGTGACTCTACTTCCAGAGGGTGACTCAAACTTCACCTACACTGTATTCAATGTATCGCTCTATTATGAAAATATAACCAATAATTTGACCTTTGACATCGAATATATTACCAACACTACTTTCTTTGTGCCTGATCAAGAGATTATTTTACCTGGGGAATATCTCATAGCAATCAATGAATGTGGACCAGGTAAGTAACATTACTACTGTCCTGGGGTTCTAATTGGTTAATACAGTTTAGAATTTATTAACTGTTTCTCTCATCGAATACTCGCCATTAATATATATCTATCTCTACTTTTTTTCTAATGACTATGTACCTAAACAAATCGCACCAGGAATAATGTTTCATTTTCACCATCCTGGTCTGCAATATATAAATCGGTTGAATGATGAAAACGTACAATAAGTTTATCACAACGATACCACACAATATGCATATTTTGTCAGATTTTTTTTCTCGCAAAATTAGTTACGCTATTAGTTAATTTGATTGCTCAATATTGGCCGTAGTGTACCAGTCTGGACGTTAGGTCAATCGGTAGTACTATAGCATATTTTGGTCACCAATTCAAATCAAAATAGCGTAAATTTTCGAAACGAAAATGGCAGAAGATTCACGATTACACGATTCTATAATTTTTCAGTAACATCCATTCTTCATTCAATTTCTGTTTTCCACGAACATGAATTTCTCTAACACCTATAAACATATTTGAAAATTCTGGATTTCTAAACAAATACTTAAAGTATTGAAAAATCCAGAAAAGTGGAACGCAGTTAATGACAGAAAAAATTATTTCTTTTCAGACTTTGCTAATTTTACGATTGATATCTTGACATTCACCTGTCGTTACTGGGACGAGGAAGAAATGAATTGGTCATCAGAGGGCTGCTCTGTAAGTCACAACTTATTTCTACTCACAGTCGACTTTATGTTTATTCACTGTTCAGAAGAAATCCGAAAAATTAAACTTGTAAATTCATCTTTGTGCATGCGTGTCGATCTTTACTTGTATCTCATGATCCAATTAAAGGTGGCTGTCTGGCGATCATTTCAGTCAAGTATATCTACCAATGTGGAAGGAACAATTTCTGAACACTGAGGGGTTGAAATTCCGTACAATTCAATACTATTTGTTTTATATAATTACATTTATAAATGGAAGACGCCGGCATAAAATATAAATGTAATTCCTATCCCTGCTGAAAGTTCAGAAAACACGTTTTCAGTATCACATCTAACCATTCGACCACTCATAGGCGTTAAGTGTAAATTTGAAAATTATCGCGCTCTCTAATTGGTAGATGAATGTTTGTACACCTTGAATAATTATATCTTAGTAGGTGTGTAGGTGCTTTCATTCATACTTAGTGCGTGATTCAACGTTTATATTGTGTTACTGCATCCAAACGCAAATATCGATGTAACAACCCAGTGATCGTATAACTATATAATACTTCTCATATACTACGCTATTATCTACTAAGTTACAGGTTAACTATGTGATCCATTATGCCGCGACACATGTAAAAAAGCGTACGAATATCAACGCTGTTCTGATACGAACTAGAATATGGTACAATTCTAACCTTGTACTTTAATTGGCTTAGCCAATAACAACTCATTAACAGATAATTCTATCGTGATTTTAATATATCACATTCCGACATCCCGAAATGCCTGATAATTTGTTTTCGTTGTTATCTAAATTCAAACAACCCTTTTGACAGGTAATGTAGCATAGTGTTGGTCCTCGCTATCTAGCGTGCTGTGTCAACAACATTTTCAGCATTCTCACACATTGGCATAATAACCAACTAGAACCAGCACTAGCACAGATTCTTGCGCTATTTTGACATATGTCTTTGATAGATTGAAAAAAATAAAGTTGTATACGTTTTCATGCATTTGTGTGTTTGAATAAGATAAACATAAATCATTCACGGTGCAAATGTTCTATTCTAAACTATGAATACATATACAAGTAGCAGATAGAAAACTTTACTCTTATTAGATACAGTAAATGGTTGTTGTCAAATTTGACCAGCTGTATTTGGCTGCATGGATTTTGTAACCGTTCATAATGCGTGCAAAAAAATCAGCGACAAAATCTTTCCTTCGTATCTTCTGTCCAGTCTCTAACTGAAATTGTTACGTATTTAAGGTGTTGGATTCATCAGATTGGACCGGTGTTGTGTGTAGCTGTTCACATCTGAGTACGTTTGGTAGTGGGTTTAAGATGATACCACCCAACCCTATTGATTTTAGCACTGTGTTCAGCAAATTTAAAGATCTAAACGAGAATGCAAGTGTATTCTCCGCAGTGTTTGTCATATTTGGCATCTATTTGATTGTTATTATCTGGGCAAGAAGAGCTGACAAGAAAGATGATAACCAGGTACGTAGTTTCAGTAGTTACCATGTTATAATGGCCGACTAGGGGACATTATTGTTCCATGTTGTTTTCTCTCGAATGAGATTTTGAATAATTCTGTTGAAAGACGACACATATACTTTATCAACGCCTTGAACGGGCTTCTTTCACCATTTACAATACGAGGGCGCCCGAACCTCAAGTTCAATAAAGGTTGATCACGGATCAGTTATCATCATAGCGTTTAGTAAGTTTTAACTCTACATTAATCTGTATTCAACTTTATTTTATAAATCATGCAATGGGTGTCACGTTACATGCGCATATGTTTCAAATACAACTTTCCAATAACGCATTGGACACAGCGAAATTGGTTCATTTACACTGCTATTTAAACCAATATGTTGCGTCTTTTTGTTTGTACATGTGGTCTACATTTGTTGTCGATTTATCAACAGGGAGTGATGCCATTGACTGACAATAATGAACACGATGAATTTTTATACAAAATAGAAGTGTTCACAGACGTCCGTAAAGAAGCCCATACAAAATCGAATGTGTTTATTACTGTAATTGGGGATAATAGTCGTACGTGTGAAAGGCAATTGAAATACGATGGAATGAGGGTAAGAAACGTGAATGCATAATCATCTGTTTAATGTAAAGGAATTCGGTATTAGCTGGATTTTATTTTCGCTTGTTTGGTATTTGAAACCGAAATTGTCATCTAAGCGTTAGGCCGTCGCTGGTTTGCTGCTGAGCTGGAATGCCAATTTTTAGTTTTAAATACCCCAGGAAAGTGTTCTAGGTTCTTCGTGTAATTAGGTGTTCGTGTGCAAGGGATTTTTCCACACAAAAACGACGAATTAGGTCGAATTTTGTTATCGGTTTGCTTAATATAACCCCAACGGACCGTATTTTTGTGCAGATTGGTATTTTTTTCCTGATTTGTAGGAATCTGAAAAACGCGTTTCACAACTTGTTTCTTATTTAGTTTTATGCGTCATTCATTATGGCGGCCCCATATAATAAATATCGGATTTATTTTATTATCTCGTGTGCGCCAGCTGACTGTGGCTTGGGACTCAATTCCCGCGCGTGCACAGGTAACGACCCTCTCGCTTTAAAACTCACTGGGTACGCGTAGCTAAAGCATGCAATACATGTAGTCTCTCCTAAACAAACCAGTGAATGTGGAAACTAAGTGAACTCAAATTTAATCGTCAATACTTATCAATACTAACAAGTCCTTTTGAAATGAAAGCCAATATACGACATTGACAGTTAATTTGTTTTCGCTATTGTTTGCAGGGTTTCAGAAGAGGTGGCATTGTGCGATTTGTGATGGCTGCATCTGAGTCTTTGGGCACTATTCAAGGAATTAAAATATGGCATGATAACACTGGTAAACAGAAGAGTGCATCCTGGTGTCTGGGAAAGATGAAAATCGAAGATGTACAAACAAATGATTTGTAAGTTTTATAATACATGTAACTGTAGCTATAATATTCCGGAAATACAATAGGTTATCATCAAGATTCAAAGCTATAAGCCATAATTCGCACTTAACGTTAATTGTAATTATCAATAGTTTATAGGTGTTCCTTATATGCCATAAACTAGATATATATTGCTGCAGCATAATTACCACTATTGGTGGCAACTGGGACACTAATGTTGGAAACACTTTTTTCAATATTATTTAACCAATATCGGTGAAGATTTTATATTCTGAATTCAAATTCTCACTGCTTTATTGTGAGAATATAAATTTTATCAGGTCCTGAGGGGGAACTAGCATGTAAATGAAATGCTAGGATTCTGGTTCTAACTACACATGTAATACTGAATAATATTTTCAATTTCTCTTTTTTGTACATGTAGGTACTTCTTCACCTGTAATAGATGGCTTGCTGTTGACAAAGATGACGGTAAAATAGAACGCTTTCTCAAGGCGTCTGATACTGAAACTCTTGGCAGTGCTAGAGGGGCTTTTGTCAGCAAAGCCAATCAAGATCTACTTGATGGCCATCTGTGGTTCTCTGTTATCGGGCGACCAGCTAGCAGTCATTTCACGCGAGTTCAGAGAGCGTCTTGTTGTCTCTCTCTGCTTTACACCTCCATGATTGCCAATGCTATGTTTTATAAAACAGAAGAAACCAATGAAAATGATTTTGTTATTCATTTGGGTGAGAATTTAACAGCCATTTCAAAACCATCATATTTCCTGCCTAATAGTTGGTGCACCAGTTTGCTATGGTTCATGTATTTAAAGAGTGGCGGTCGTCGCGCTGCCGCCTGTGCGACATTTGTGTTGATAAACATTGATTTTCCCACAATCCGATGCGCTCTTCTAATGGAAATCACAAGTATGAGGTTCGACCTGGGCGCGACTTACACTAATTATCGCCGGTGACTTTTTCGATATCTCCCAATTACCGAAAAAATACCTAATTAAAGCTTGGGAACAGTTTTTACTCAGTGATATACGCAACAGTCATTGTTTATATGCTACCCATATATCTCGCGCATGCGTGGCACGACGACTACCGCCCTAATTATACATTTTAAATGAACACCATTTCCTATTAGCTACAGAACTTGATTAATTTGCTTGAAAAATATAGAAAAACGTATGACATTTTATTTTGTGACTTTGAGAACTGGTAAAATAATTTGCCCACATTTGTCAATTTCAAATATCCTTATTCGGTAGTCACCATTACTGCATCTACTGTCTATTTATCTGAACAAAACAGTGACAATTTTATGAATAATTAATATGATGACGCCATTTTAACCAATGGTTTTGAATATTTGTCATCACTGCCATCGATACCTGTTGTCACCAAGCGTTTACATAGTTTAGTAGTAATTTTCATTCATCGATTTCCATCTATATGGATCAACATACTAAAATGTAGACCAAATTCATTAAAAATGGGGTCGAATTATGTCCATTTGTGATTAATTGTGAAATGTGAAATAATCGTAAAATTGTTAATTTAAGCTTTGACATCTTTGTTAAATAGGTCCTCTTTCCATCAGTTGGCATCAGCTGTATGTTGGTTTCATGAGTAGCATGGTTGTGTTTCCTGTAAACTTAGCCATTGTACAACTATTCAGAAAAAGCCGACCTACGAATGTAAAATTCGATTTCAAGCGGAAGAAGAAAAACAAGAAGAAGAGAAAAAATAAAAATAAAGTGACAAATATTACAACTAACAAGACGACTAAGTTAGATCATCTGAATCATAATGGAAGTGAACCTGAATGGGACCCTGGTGTGGCAAAAGATGAAGGGAACAATGGTAATTATCTGCAGTTGGCAGGTACCATCAACACGATCAACAACAAGGAACAACAGGACAGCCTTAGTAAAGCACTTGATCCATTGAAATGGGGGAAGACGGAGAACACAGATACACATATAATGGATGGAATACCAACTCAAGTAGATCATGGATCTGCTTCTTCTGCTGATGATTTACGAGCCCTGCTTGATGGCACACCAGATTCAGCCGTTGATGAGGAGGAGCATCAATTAGATGACAAGAAGGATAAAAAGAAAAATAAGGACGAAGAGGAATTCTGGTTACCACATTGGTGCTTATACATCGGATGGTTACTGGTGTTCCTGTCTTCATCTGGTTCCGCTTTCTTTACGATTCTGTACAGTTTAGAGTGGGGACACAAGAAAGCCTCATCGTGGTTGGTGTCGTTATTGGTCTCGTTTTTACAGGATGTTATTTTCATGCAACCAATTAAGGTAACTTTTACATATATCTTTTCAAAAGAATTTTCATGGTGGCGTCTCCTTTTTCAAAGCTGTAGTTTTTACTACATTTCAATATCTTATTGATATTAAACCAGATTAAGGATGTTTCTTAAATTCTTGCTTCTGCCCAGAAAAACGCTTTGAAGCATTTCTATATCTTGCAATATGCAAATCCGCAGACCAAATTAAATGTGTATTTTAGACAAAAGTGTATAACATTTCGATTGTCTGCAAGCTTAAACAATAACAATATTTTATGATGTGATTCCATCTGCTTTTACTCTGTTTACCCGGTGATTTTATGCCAGATTGAAAGCAATTCTTAATACAACACCGGTAAAAAGAAATGAAAATTACAATTTCAGATAATCTCTTTTCATTGTCAGGTTATCATTTTAGCTATTATTATCACAGTAATTATGAAAATGATCAGAAAAAGGAAAGGAGAAGATAACAACGCTGATGAGTATCTACAAGACACAGAGAATGAAGGTGGGAATTACAAATTGTTTTTGATTAATATTTCTTATTTTTTTAATTTGTTATTATTATAATTTGTACGTAGATTCATATACCATGCCATATAATTTGACATTATTAGTAATATTATTTAACAATACTCTTTCCCTGTAGTCACGTATTTGAGTGCTGTGCATTAGCACAACAAATTTGTTCCAATGAATTGATACGTGACAGTAGCTCATGGAATTAAATGTCTGAGTATTTAATAAGAAATGGTCTGCATACTCATTGTCTACTTTGCATATTTAGCTGAATTAAGTAATAAGAATAAGACTGCATAGTACTGCGCATAGTTATTTCGAAAAATAATAATCATGATGATCAAGACTACAACGAAATATTTTTGTGTTTAACATGTACTCTTGACTTGTGTTAATGAATGTGACATTTCCATTACAGATGGCTTTAATGTTAACGACAAGGATCTGATGAAAGCCAAGGAACTGAAGAAGCGTGAGGAGACGATGTGGTCATTCTTCAAAGAGATCTTTGTTTATTGCATATTTGTCATAACAGTGCTATTAATTGCATACGGACAGAGAGATCTCAGATCATTCTATATGCATAAGAGTGTCAAGGATATATTTATAGATAATGGTCAGTTTGCATCGGTGAGTTTAATAACAACATTGCTAATGACGTCACTAATCAATACACAATATGATCAACTATACATTGTGGTGTCTGATTTGCACAAGCACAAACACAAACACAAACACAAACAAACAGATATATGTATAGGTGTTGAGACATTGAATTAATTTTACTATGTCGTTGTTCAGGCAATAACTCTGAGATTAACATATATATAATTATACTAAAACGCCATAGAATAGTAATATGCACTTAGGGCTGGAAATATC